TCGGGCTGTACCCCACAGGTTAAGGCTGTACCCCCAGGGTGGGGCTGTACCCCACAGGTTGGGGCTGTACCCCACAGGTCAGGCTGTACCCCACAGGTCAGGCTGTACCCCACAGGTCAGGCTGCACCCCGGCCCTGCTCCCACCCTACTGCTGGGGCACCTGGCAAGCGCAGGGCAGGGGCTGCCCCTGGGGACACGGCACAGCGGGACCCCAGCACGATGGCCACAACCTCGTGGGGACACGGGGACAGAGCCACCTCCGAGGGACACGGGGCAGGGGGAGCCCCGCAGCAGTGGGCACAGCTCCCAGGGGGAGCAGGGGGAGCAGCCACTACAGCCCACCCAAAGCCTGCAGGTTCTGCAGCAGCTCTGGGACACAACGGGGGCACAGGCAGGTCCAGCAGCAACGATGGGACAAAGATGGAGTGTCTGAGCCAGTCTTGGCACCCAGGCAAAGGAAACAAGGCATCTGGAACCATCAGAGGTGCCTTCAGCATGACCACACAGGTGCCCAGTGCTAGCCTGGGGACAGGGACCTCCCTCCAGCAGAAATGCTGAGGAAGTAATGTGACTGCAACCACACCCACAACGCAAAATTGTTAATTTATTATTAGGAGGCAAAAAAATTGTACAGTTACAAGAATCATTTCCCAACAGAGGTCAAATCTGAGTCAAAATATCTCTTACAAAAAAAAAAAGAGGGGTGGTGGGGGGGGCGACAACACTTTACAAGTCATTAAATTAAAAAAAAAAACAAACAACAAAAAGAAACCTCTCTTTGTGCAATTCTGCAAAAACAAGAACAGAAGGTAAGTCCCTGGCCTGACACCCTGGAGCCGAGTGGGAAGAGGCTGAGAGGGCTCCTGCAGCTCCCTGGCCATCCCCACCCCATGCCCCAGCCCTGTGCTGGGACCGGCAGCTGCCTCCCCCTGCACACCCCCCCTCCAGTGCCAGCCCAGTCCCCACAAACTGGCCCCAAACAGCCTGGCCAGGCCCCCAGGCTGCACCTCAGAGCCCCAGCCAATGGCACAGACATGGCACAGCCATGGACCACCACAGTCCTCCATCCTGTGCAGACACACCTGACTGTCATCCCCACAAGCCCTGCTGCCCCCTGCCCCAAGGCTCCCGTGCCTCCCAGCCATGGGCAGGGGGTGGCATGGGGAGCAGGGAATGGGGAGCAGGGCATGGGGAGCAGGCCCAGGGAGCAGAGCACGGGGAGCAGGACTGCAGTGCAAGCATGGGGAGCAGGGAATGGGGAGCAGGCACAGCGCACAGCCCCTGGCTCTGGTGAGCAGCACTGAGGGTGCACAGATGCTCTGAGTGTGTCTCCAGGTGCCTTCATGTGTCACTCCCTCTCTGGCATCCCAAGGGATGTCCCTGGCCAGGGCAGAGCCAGCAGCCCCAGCTGGGCACAGGCGATGCCACTTGGCACGTGGGGAGCCAGCACAGCTGTCCTGAGAGGTTCCATGGGGCTGAGCCAGCCCTGGGCAGGGGGGAGGCAGGTGCCAGCCCCCAGCTCCCCCAGGGGCTGCTGGCATTGCTGGGCCCCCAGCACTGGTACCAGTGCCACAGATCATCCCCTGAGCAGCCAGACTGGGCAGTGGGCAGGATTCGGCCCAGGCACAAGAGCAGGGGACACGTGGGGCCGGGGAACAAGTGGCCCTGGGCCCCAGAGAGCGGTTGGGGAAGAGGAGGCAGTAGGAGGAAGATGATGGCAGTGGCTTGTGGTTAATCCCTGTCCCCTGGAGGGGTGAGGAGCCTACAGTGGCATTGACACGCCCTCCCCCTGCCACACCCAAGGCAGGCAGGGCAAGGTGGGCACCCCTGACACCCCCAGGGTGGTCTCTGCCTGGAGGCAGCAGCAGGACACCCAGGGAAGGGAACACAGAGCCCCAGGGGACCTGCCCTGTGCCCTGCAGCTGGCACAGCCCCATCCCCAAGGGCTGCCTTCTGCTACCACCCTCCTCCTCCTCCCAGCGCTGACCCATTGGCTGGCCTTGGGGAGCCCCAGCTTTCCTACCGCTCACAGGGCCCAATTTAATAACAGCACTATCCCTTAAATTAAAAAATTAAAATATATATACATATATATATACTGTATACACAGACAACAACAGAACAGTGCCAAAATGGAGGAAGAGAGGGGGGAGGAGAAGAGAGGGGAAGAGGAGGGCAGTCAGACATCTCCTTTACAATAAAAACAAGGACTCTGCCCCAATGTGAGCAGAGTCTGGGGTCCCCTAAAAATACCCATCTAGAGAGAGAGCTGGAGGGACAGAGCAGGAGAGAGGGGCACGGGCTTGTACAATGGCATCTTCCCAATCCGAGCCAGGCCCGCGGGACCTCAGCTTCGCCTGGACTTCGAGTGCTGGATAAGCCACTGTAGGGTGATGTCTGCAGAGGCAAGGGGACACTTAGAGCCTCTGTCTCTGGCTGTCACCTCCCCTGGGCAAACACAGGGCTGCTCCCCACCCCCCCGTGAGCCCAGCTCACAGCACTCACCAATGTTGTCCTTTTCTTTGCAGGAGATGGAATAGCAACAGATCTCTCGGTCCTGGATGGCAGAGAGGTTCCTGTGGGAAGGGAGCAAGTGCTGGCTGCAGACTCTGAGCCGTGTGGGGTGGCTGTGGGAGACACCCCTGGGACTTTTGGACTCTGGCACATGGAAGGGGCAGCAGCTCCCCAGCTCTCCAGGAGCTGCATGTGGGTCAGGAGAGGGCACCATTTCTCCATGCCTGAGGGGCAGGGGTGGTCTGGGGGGGGTTATGTGACAGGGCAGGAGGGACCCGATCCCACAGAGACCCTGGCCACCAAATTCCATAGGTCCCCCCCCAGCCCTGCAGCTAGATGGGGCGGGGAGGTTTTGGGAGCAGCACAGGGCTGGCAGTATGGGAGCTGCACGGGTGCCCGTGGTCCAGAGGTGCTCTGAGAGGTGGCTGAAGGGGAGGAAATGCTCTAAGTGCAGCATCCCAGAATTCCCCTGTGGAGAAGCCCAGCTCCACCAGCCAGTGCCACGCTGTGCCAGGCCCCCACGCCACCATGTGGCACATGATCCAGCCCTGGCACTGCTGGCTCCAGCTCCCCTCTGTCTCCACAAAGCATCACCTCAGACATCCTCAGCCACTCATCTCTGGCAGCCCACCCCAGGCACCCCAGTGCCACTCCAGACAGGCAATCATGCTGGTGGGGACACGGCAGAAGGGGGAGGGGGTCACACTGTGTCACACCCCCTGTGCCCAGGGCACTGGCACTTACATCTTCTCAATGAGCTCCTTCTCATCCAAGGCACCGGGCAGGTCCCGCTTGTTCCCCAGGACGAGGACCTGCAGGGCAGCACAGGGGACACCTGAAGCACCCAGCCACCAGACCAGGCAGGAACCTGCTTGTGCCACTCACTGCTTGTGACACCAGACAGCCCTGGCTACTCCACTAGGATGTCCCAGACAGAGAAACCCCCTTCAGCAGCACTCAGGAGGCAGAGAACTTCCATTAGCTGCCTTAATTAGCCTGTACACAGCATCTCCTGTGCACTCCCTACTCCCAGTGCAGAGATGGCCCCACAGCACATCGTCTCTGAAGGGCACCAGTATCCCCTGTGCCTTCTAGGACATTCTCCCAGGAGCCTCTCACTGTCTCTGAGCAAAAAGTCAAGTGAAATGGCTAATACTGATGTTATCCAGCAGGAGCAAGCTGTGGATGCCAGGCAGAACCCACTCTGCAGGCAGCCAGCCCAAACCAGGATCAGCTGTTTGTGCCATCCCTGATCTCTCCTTGAAGGCTCTTGACAGCCACAGAAGCATTCTCAGATTGTGTAAGGAGAACCACCACCCAGCAGGGCTGGTTTGTCCCGGAGCAGCCATGTGACTGTCACCTGACAGGGGTGCTGCTGAAGCTGTGGCTCCCAGACTGCGCCGGGGCTCTGCAGCAGCACAGGATGAGCATCCCCCCATTTCAATCAGGAGGCTTGTTCTCAGAAGAGAGCCTTCAGAGGCCTGCAACTGCAGAGTGGTATGTCAGGAGCTTAATTTAGCTGGCAGCGGACATTTGGGATCCATGGCAAGATCTTCAATCAGCTCCTCTTGAAGGATGCTGATTTGGGATGGTTGGTGCTCAGCCCACCTGACATGTACAGCATGCCCAGCACTGCAGGTCCCACCTCCTACACATGTCACAGCCCAGCAGCAACTCTCACAGGAGACAGGACCTTCCTGTCACACCATAAATCAGGTGCTAATCCACGTGAGAGGACAGATTTCAGGGGGACTGATCTGTGCTCTCTGCCCTAGAAGTCCCTCCCTGTTGCTCGGCCCAGTTCTGACCTAGGAAGTGTCACTGTCCCAGCTGGCTCCCTCAGGAGTGCAGCAGGGGACACCTCCAAGAAAGGGGAGCCCCTCCCTGAATCTGCTGTGCAAGCCCTGGTACCCCCAGCCTGGGCACCACTGAGGCACCAGCTCACCGGGATGCCCTGGAGCTGCGGCTTGTCAAGCAGGTTGTGCAGTTCGTTCTTGGAGGCCTCTATCTTCTCCTGGTCAGCAGCATCCACCATGTACCTGCAAGGGAAGGGACAAGCCTGAGCACAGGTGCCCAGGTCTCCAGGCCCTCGTGCTGTGCTGAGGTCTGTGCCACCCCCAAACCTCCTCCCACGGCAGCTCGCTGCCCCCACTGCAAACTGAGCCAGCAGGAGGTTGATAACAGGATCCTTCCACCAGGATGCCTCTTCCCAAGGACAGCTGTGGAGCTGAGAGCCCCTCATGTCCCCCAGGGGAGTGGGGACCACCCCATCCTTGTCTGACAGCAGGGCCAGGCTGGGCCAGGAAAGCCCAGGCAGGAGAAGCTGCAGGACAGACATTGTCTCCAACAACACGTGGAGAGCAGCTGCCATGTAAACACACAGGACACAGGACAAGCAGAGAAGGCAAGAGAAGCTGAGGATGGAGAGCTGATGATGACCCAAGAAGGGAAAGGACCTCCTCATCCCATCCATGGGGTAATCCTGGGAGGGGCCATGGAGCACCTGGATGTGAAGCTGGTGGCCACCAATGCTTCTCTGAGAAGAAGGGGAGATTTGGGAAAGGATTTTTTTCTTACAGGACAACTTTTATACTGCAAAGGATGTCAGTGAAGCCAAAACTTGGGTGAGGAACTGATCAAAGCAGATTTCAAAGATCAAGAAGCTGGGAGAGAAGGAGTGAGAAACAGCTCATCAGGCTTTGGGGAGTTATTTAAAAATAGGAAAAGAGCTACTAACTACTAAAGTGCTTAACACAGGAAAATGGGAACGCTGTGCTGAAGGGAAAAACAACCCCAGGGACTGCTCCAGCCCTTGGAATGTTGGGCACAGGGGGAGAGCTGACAGTAAAGAGAAAGAGACCTGACATAGCTCGAGATGATGAGGGCAGACTGGAGTGAGACCTGGATGCTGACAGGATCTTTTGTTTCCTGACAACCACATGGGCCAAAATTATGACATTATGGAAGGAGGCAGCAAAAAGAGTGAAAAGACAGAGATTTTGTTATTTCCAGCAAAGCTCATTGTACTGAAAATTGTGATAAAAACCCTCCTGCAGGTCCAAGGCCATGTCCCACCATGATGACAACCTGCAAGAGCAGGAGCAAACACCACTGCCCCAACATGCAGAACAAGCAGTACCACACTCCTCCTCAGCTGCCAAGAGTTGGGAAGGGCAGCACAGAAAGCAGCCCTCCAAATCTCAGAGTATGGTCACTTGGGAAAGATCCCAAAAATCTCATTTCCTGACTGGGTTTAAGTAACCCCAGTATGGTGTTCTGACATCAGCATTTGTCCTTTGGAATAGGCAACCTGCTTCCCATGAATGTCTTGCCATGCTTACCCCAAGCCTGGGGTCCCTGGGATTGCTTTTACTGCACTGTTTGCAAGCAGAGGACACCCAGGGACACTCAGATTCGCTGACTCAGTAGCAGGTGAGACTCCTGCACTCAGCACAAGATTTATCTGGCAGCACATAAACATCCTGGCCTGGAAAGCAGCCTCTGGGAAGGGCTGAGCCCCACACCTGGGTTTGCTCAGCTCCTGTGGTGAGCAGCCAGCACAGAGGATGCATGGGAGCCTGGAAGGGTAAGATCTGAGGAACAGAGCTGGACTGAGTGATGCTAGAAGGGAAGAGAAGGGGCTGGCACAGCTGGAGAGACCTGGCTGTCCCCTGCTCAAGCTCATGTGGACATCAGTCCCCAGGTGAAGTATCTGGATAAAAGGAGGCTCAGGGGGAACCTTCTCAGTCTCTCCAGTTCCTGACAGGAGGGTGGAACCAGGTTGGGGTCAGGCTGTCCTCACAGAAAACAAGCAACAAGGGCCAGAAGAAATGGCCTCAAGCTGGACATGGGGAGGTTTAGGTTGGATATTTTGGAAAATCTCTTCCCTAAAAGGGTGGTCAGGCCCTACCACGGGACAGTGGTAGAATCACCATCCTTGGAGGCATTCAAAAACCATCTGGGGACATAGTCTAGTGATGAATATGGTGGTGTTGGGTTAATGGTTGGACTTAATGATCTTAGAGGCCTTTTCCAACCTTCATGATGATTCAGTGATTCCAACCCCTGACAGAGGTGTCCAGCTCGGGCAGCAAAGGCACCACAGCTCCCCTGGCAGCCCAGCACCCCGTGGCAAGGCTCAGCAGCAGCAGCAGCAGCAGCAGCAGGGGCTGACAGCAGGGCTCTGGGATACTCACACGATGGCACTCACTCCACGGCAGTATCGCTCCCACATGCTGCGGAACCGCGGCTGCCCCCCGATGTCCCAGAGCTGTCACAGGAGAAGGCAGAGTTACCCTGGCACCGTGCCCATCACCCCACACTCCTGCCCAACACTCTCCCCTGTCTGCCTACCTGGGGCATTTTGGCTGTGCTCCAAACCCACCCCTGTCCTCTCCTCTTCAGCTCAAACCTCAGGAGGCTCCTTACTTGATAAAGTAGGGAGGAACTTGAGGAAGGGGAGCTGGAGGATGCTGAGTCCCCCTGCAGTGTGCCTCTGCTGGCATGGAGGGACCCCTGGCCCAAGCCAGGTGCTCCTCCCCACACCCATCACACCTCCTGGCATTTCCCTGAGGCATTTCCCTTTTAAGAACATTTGGCACAGTCTCAAAAGTGTTCCTGCAGCAGCCAGAGCTCCCCCAGCCAGCTTTCCAAGCCTGTCCAACAGCTATTTCCCAGATCAACCCCAGGCCCTCAAAAAATCCAGAACAGGTAGAACTCAACTCTTCCTTTGCACCTGAGGCAGAGACCACCACTGCAAACCATGACCTGTTTTCCCCAGCATGACCACCCTGAGCAAGGTGACCACATCCATTGAGTCCCTACCAGCAAGAGATACAAGGAAACCTCCAGCTTTGCAGCCCAGACTGACTCTTATTGCACAAGTCTGGATCTCCTACAGCCCTTCCCACCACCTCCTGCAGGACCCTAACAGGGCAAATCTTTCACTTCCAGATGGTGGAATCACAATCCCTGGAAATGTTAACAAAACACGTGGATGTGGCACTTGGAGACATGGTTTAGTGGTGAACGTGGCACTTCTGGGGAACGGTTAGACTCGATCTTACAGGGATTTTCCACCCTTAACACTGCTATTCTATTCTGTGAGCTGCAGCTGGGATCCCTGGAATTCTTCCACCTCCAGCAGAAGAGCCACCAACCCCCCTCACCTGCACCTTTCATCCCAAGAGCCCTCACCAGCAGTAACAACTGCATCTTACCTTTATGGTAACATTCCCTTTGGTGATCTTCCTCATGTTGAAACCCACTGTGGGGATCATGTCCTCATTGAACTGTCCTGACTGCAAGGAACAAGGTGAAACAATGTTAGGAGGTAGAGGAATGGGGCCAGCCTGCCCTGGCAGGGCAGCAAGGCTGACAGCCTGGGATAACCCCAAAAGCTCTCCCAGCCCTGCCCTGGGCACGGTGCAACCCTCCTGCAGGTCCAGGCCAGGAGCACAGAGCCCAGCAGACATGGTGCCACCACAATTACAGGAATGCTGTTCTTTTCCAGCTGGGAGAAAGCCTGGTGGGCAGAGGGAAGCAGTGATTTCATTGTCCAGGGCTTGGTGAGCATTTTGCATGTAAATAACCCTCGATTTGTACACTTTTGTTATTAGTAGTGTGGCTCTTACTGTGTTCTTATCTCATTATTTCCAGTGAACTGCTCTCATCTCAACCCATGATCTTCGTCTTTTGTGCTTCCAGTTGGAATGGGAAGGGGAGGCGGGAGGCAGGGAACACCTAACACCAGTGGGAGCACCAAATTGAGGAATACCATTCCTAAGCCATGACACTGTGGCTGCTGCAGTGGACACAGGTGCCCTGGGTGCCCCAGTGCAGTCCCCAGCCCTGCAGCAAGCTGCCAACCCCAGCCCTGGACACATCTGTCCTGGTGGGCTCGCCCATCCCAGCTCTTTCAAGCCTTTTGTGGGAGGAGGCTGAGACCCTCATCCTCTGCTGTGACCTCTTGTGAGGAGTCCTGCAAGGACCCTCAGGGTTCTGGTGAGCCACCCCCTGCTCCAGCTCCTTTCCAGCTGCAAGTCCTGTGGTTACCACCATGTTTCGTGCTTTGGATCATTTATGGCCCAGCTCAAACCAGACTGACTTCTGCTTTCAAGTGAGTGCTGTCTGCCTGCACTGGTCCCCCAGTTCTGCATCCTGCCTGTGCTGGGTTACTTGAGGGTCACAAAGGGCCCCCCTCCTGCCCCCAGGAGCAGCTCTCAGTGCAGCTCCAGTCTCTGTTGAGTTTATGCATCAGATGCATGAGATCCCTGTGGGGCTGCAGCATCCCAGCACCGCTGTGGAACGGGTCAGGCTTGTGGGAGCAGTGAGCAGGTACCATCCCTCTGCGATGCTGGCTCACGAGCCCACATGGCCAGTGCCACACCAAAGGCTCTGGCAAAGCCACCCCACGTTCCAGTCTGCTGCTCAAATCCCAAAGCTGCAGGATGGGCCCAGGTGGAGCAGCACACACTGTGGGCAGTGCCAGCAGTGATGTGGCATCTCTGGGGCAGGAGACAGGAGCTGGCACTGCCCTTCACCCACTGCCTCCAGCAGCTTCCCTGGGACTCAAACCAGGCTTATGGCCAGTAAAAGCATCCTGGGATCCATGCTGTGGAATGCTGAGGAGCAGAATGTTTGACAACCAGGATAGTGCAGCCTCGGGGATTTCAGCCATCACTGTCATAAACCTGCAGGAACCATCAACCACGGCCAAACTCATCCTAGCAGGTCTTTGCTACCTTAAAACCCTCTGTTTCTTGAGGGCTTTTCTCTCAGTTAACACAAACCTCAAAACAGGAAGTAAGTTTATGCTATTTTCTCATAAGCAGATTTTTGTGCCTGGTTGAGCCTGTGGCTCCTCCAGATGCACCACATCAGCACGTCCCCAGGGTTCTCCTGCTCTCTTCCAAATGCTCTGCAATACACACTGCTTCCCTTTTTCATATCCCTTTTGCATTCAGCAGCAAAACCTGGCAGCCAAAGAGTGTTCAGGCCATGCTGCACCCAGAAAGTGCTGTGAGGACGGGCATGGGGAGAGGAGGGGAAGCAGGCATGGATCCACAGGGGATGTCTCCTGTGGATCGAGGCTCAACACACAACTGGGCTTTATGAAACGAATAAATTCTCAGGCTTTGATCAGTGGGCACGGAGACCACTTGCTGAAGAGCTCTTGGAAGCTGCAGGGATTTCCCTCAGGGATCCCAGATCACATCATGGGATCTGCTGGCTGTGTAAAAGCCACACAAGATAAGGTTCCCATATGATAGTTCTTCCAAGAAGGGGTGCAAATGCAGGAGCCAGGAGTTACCTCTTCCTTCCTCCATGGGTGGGACAGAGCATGTCTTTGTGAGTGACCACAGCCTTGCTCCCTGCCCCAAACCCCTCTCCCACTGCAGCACCTGCCTCCAGGCTGCCCATGGCCAAAGGGCCAAAACAAAACCACTTGAGCTGTCCAAAACAGGCTGAGCTGGGAATGCAGCACATTGTGGTCCAGGATGGCTCACACGTGCTCCCCGCTGCCCCAGCACCCACAGAAGCATCTTGCATGTGCTCCTCCTCCATCAGCTCCTCCTGCATCAGCTGCTCTCTGAAAGCAGCTCTCAATGGTGGAAACACAGTTTCCTCTTCCCTCTACAATTATCTCTGTCACTGGTGCCTTCAACATAATTTCAACTCCCCGCAGGGTCCAGCCATCCACAGCTCCACTGCCAGGAAAGCAGTAAGCACCCAGATGGAGACAAGCAAAAGCTTCACTGGACACATTCTTCCCCCAAGTTTTGATTATGTAATGGACATAACATCCATGCTGACCCTGAAGACGATGCCAAGCTACACCAATTGTTTAAGGATGGGATTCCACTGGGGAGCACAAAAATCGTTACAGGCAAGATGGATTTTGTGGCCACAAATGGCAGATGAGGTCTTCACAGATTGCAGTCCATTGCTGGTTTTGCCAGGGTCACCCACTGCTCTGCCCAAACCACTCTGCCTTGGTGCCCTGCCTGGAAGGCAAGAGACCTTTCTGCCCAGCCCCAACACTTTCCAGCTGGGTCACTGGGAGAGGTGGCCAGAGCTTTTGCCAGGGCGAGTGGAGCCCCCAGCTGATGCTGAGCCCCATCCTGACACATGCAGATGGACACCACATCTCCTGCCACTTCAGCCATTCCCTTGCTCAGAAATGTTTTATCATGTGAGAGGTGAGGCTCTGGCACAGGTTACCCAGAGAAACTGTGGCTGCCCCATCCCTGGAAATGTTCAAGGTCAGGCTGGATGGGGCTTGGAGCAAACCAGTCTAGAGGAAGGTGTCCCTGTATGTGCCTGCCAATGGTAGGGGTGTTGGACAAGGTGATCTTTCAAAGTCCCTTCAAACCCAAATCACTCTGTGATCCTATCTCAGGAAAGCCACACTGTCCGTTTTTCTTGGCTCATGCTGACAGAGCTTGCAGCAGCAAGACAAGACCATGCCCCAGCCAGATTCTCCTCCTCTTCCAGGAATATGAAGAACCCCCCCAGAAAACCTGCTTCCTTCTGCATCATGAAGCTAAGGCGCAAAGATACACCTGTGGAGGGCCCAGGTGCTGCATCTGGAGGCAGAATGACCACGAGGCAGCATGAGAACCCACAGCCACCTCCCAGCCACGCTGGCCCTGCCAGATCCCACCCAAGGGGCACACCCAGAGCTCCTGGGAGAGGTGGGTGTCAAGACAGACCAGCGCAAACGCATCAGAACAACATCTCCCTGCTACTTCCTCAGCACCTGTGTCCTCTACCTCCCCAGCAAACCCTGGGGACCTTGCAGACCTGGAGCTGCATCCTCCCTCCCAGGCTCAGGGGCTGAGGCAGCAGAGCACATCCTCAGGATGGGTCAGCTGGCTGGTGAAGGGGTCAGTGTCTCTCTGAGGATGGCTGGGAGCAGGTGCTGAGCTCCCAGGTCAGGCTTCCTCAGCAGCACTGTTGGAGAGCTGGCTGCCTGCCACACCATCCACCATCCTACCCGGTGCCAAATACGAGGCTGATGTGGTTTCACAGGATGGGTCAGGTTGGAAGGACCACAGTGGGTCATCTGATCCAACCTCCCTGCTCAACCAGGATCATCCCAGAGCACATGGCACAGCATTATTGCCAGACAGTTTTGGAATATCTCAGTGAGGGGGACTCCACATCCTCTCTGGGCAGCCTCTTCATGCACAGTCATGGCACAGGGAAGAAGTTCTTCCTCATGTTCAGGTGGAACTTCTTGGGCATCAGTTTCTGCCCATTCCTCTTGTTCCATTGCTGGCCCCCAGGGAGCAGAGGCTGGTGCATCCTCTGACCCTTCCCTGCAGACACTGACAGACAAGGATGAGGGCCCCTCTCAGACATCTCCTTTCGGCTGTTTGGCTCAACAGCCTCATCTCCCTCATCCTGTCCTCATGAGATGCTCCAGTCCTGTCAGCATCTTCACAGCCTCCACTGAACTCGCTCCATGCTTGCAGCACTGGTCTGAATCACTTTCCAAGCAGGGCTGAAGCACACAATGGTGCCCCAGAGCTCCCACCACACATGTTCAACACCCCAGCACTTGTGGCTTCGCTCTCCTGGAAGGCTCTAGCACAGGTAGAATGCGTGTGATGTCAAAAAGCAGCAACTCTCTCTTGTTCTAACCGTGGCCTGCACTGACAGGCCCCAGCACCTGCTGAGGAGCTCTCCATGCCCTCCAGTCACCCATGTCACCACCAGACTGGAGAAAAGGCAACTAAAAGCCCACTAGCTTCAGGTTAAATCAAGCCCAGATGTATCTACAGCTTTCACTTCTCCTTGCAGGAAAGACTTCAAGCCTCAGCTATCAACAGCTAGGAAAAGAAAAAGTGAGTCGTGGAAAATCAAATCCCCAGGCAGGTGACCCAGGAGGAGTCACCCTGATCATAGCTGCCTTCAGCAAAGCCCTTGCCTGGCACAACCACAGCCTGGCTGCTGGAGGGAGCCACCCACCTTCCAGGGAACTGGAGTCCACTTTTCAGTCAGGTGCAGCTACAAATCCTGGAAGAAAAGGACAGTGCCAACCCCCCCAGAGCAGCTCCAGTCCCAAAAAGGCTTCTTGCGACATCTCTCCAACACCATCAAAGTCCCATACTTCTTCAGCTCAGTTCTTCCCCCCACAAAGCCCAAATCACAGCTATTTCCCCTTTCCAACAACCCCATTGCAACACCCTAAAGCCAGGCACCTCCAGACCTTCTCAGGCAGTTCCTGTCGAGTTGGCATTTTCTGTGTCACGCTTCTATTTCACTGTGCTCAACAAGTCCTTCTTTCCAGGGTGTCTTCTCAAAAGTCAGTGCCCCCTTTTGTGTGCATCTGCCACAAAACTTCAACTTTCCAAATAACTCGAGAGGCTAAACTCAGCACCCTGAGCCTGACTGCCGTGTGAGGGTCTCAAACAGCCCACAACAGACCTGGCAGACCAGCAGGCCATGGTGCCAACTTCAGCCACCTCAAGAGCTGCTAGAATTCCTCAAAGTCCCTTTTCCCTGCACCAGCTATCCTGGCCAAGAGGACAGAGTCCCAGTGCATGGGTCTTGCCCACAGTAGAAGTGCCAGGTACAGAGTATTTACTCACAGAAGCAACCCCCACAAAGCTCACACTGAGCCCTGTCTGCTCCAGATGTTCCTGGGAGAGGAGGAGACGTGGGGAACAGGGAGCCAAGTAACACCAACCCTTGGGGTTTCCAGCCCTGTGCAGGCAGAACAGCGCAGCAGGTCTGGGATAAAGCTCCATCACCCTTCATGGCTTAACTGGGTGATTAAAACCGACACTAAATTACTTTGCCATTTTTAAGGCAGCCTTGGCGCTGTTAACAGGCAGCAGCATCCAGTGGATCCAGAGCAGGAGCAGCCCACACGTGGCAGTGCCACGTCCCACCCTGGCACAGAATTGCAAAAACTGACTATTAAACATGTAAATGGCAGGGAGAGGCCCCCCAAAATAGGGTTGGTGCTCAGGGTCACTTCCCCAGAGCCAAAATACTCCCTGTCCCCAGACATTGGTATTGGTATTGGTATGGTTTATGGGAGGATCCAGCAGGAGACTGGAACACTGAGAAGTGACTTCCAGCAAAACGGCTCGAAAACAGGAGTGCCGTCATCTCCAGGATGATAAGTGTCCTCTCTCTGCCCCTAGATGCTTCAGGAAGGACATTTTCATCCCTCAGCACCTCCCAAAGAGCATGGCTCCAGTGCAACGAAGCCTCCATACGAGCTGAAAATCCCCTCTGACAGCCCAGCAGCTTCCTGAGCAAGCAGCAACAACTCGCTCTGCTTCGGAGCCATGGCAAGCACGGACTTTGGAGCAATGAGCGGGGACCAGGAGCCAGTGAGGGAACCAGGGCGGACCTGCATCCACCTCCCCCATGAAACCCTCCGGGGACAACAGCCCAAACCCACCCCAATCCCGCCTCGCACCATCACGGATTGAGAGGGCAAGAAAAACGCAAAAAGCAAGAGGGGAGACTCTGCCGAGCATCCCCACGGGTGAAGCCACGCCCTGGGTTTGGGGATTCAGGACATGCGGCTCCTGATGCACTGCTGGGTGCAGGGACCCCGCGGACGAGGCGGCGCAGCCGGGAGAGGCCAGGGCTGGAGGGGCCCAAGGCGGGTGTCGCTGCCCCGCTCGGCTGAGGAGCGGTGCCACAGCACCCACAGGACGCTGCTGCCGGCCGATGCTTCCCGAGGAAAGTCGCCAGGCAAACACCTCCCACACCGGCCCCCAGACAAGGAACCCCGGTGGCGCCGAGCCCGGCAGGGTCGGCATGAGGCGGCGGCAGGGCCGATGACAAAGCGCCTGCTGGTACGGGTGCGAGCGGGAGCTGCAGGGCCCGGCGGGCACCGGCACCGGCACCGGCACCGGCACCGCCTGCTGAGTGCTGGCCGAGCTCCGGCCGGACCGGCCAAGGGGTGCCGGACCCTTCCCCAGGGCCTGCTCCGCCTGTGGCCCCGAGCACCGCACCCGGCTCTGGGAACGCGGGCAGCAAACGCTGCGGTTTGCCTGGGCCGCCCTGAGCCTGCACCCCACACTGTACCCCACTGCTGCACCCTGCACCCCACACTGTACCCCACTGCTGCACCCTGCACCCCACACTGTACCCCACTGCTGCACCCTGCACCCCACACTGTACCCCACTGCTGCACCCTGCACCCCACCCTGCACCCCACACTGTACCCCACTGCTGCACCCTGCACCCCACACTGTACCCCACACCCCACACTGTACCCCACACAGTACTCCACACCCCACACCGTACCCCATACCCCACACTGTACCCCACACCCCACACTGTACCCCACACCCCACACAGTACCCCACACAGTACCCCATACCCCACACTGTACCCCACACCCCACACTGAACCCCATACCCCACACTGTACCCCACACCCCACACTGTACCCCATACCCCACACCGTACCCCATACCCCACACCGTACCCCACACCCCACACTGTAACCCCACTGCTGCACCCCGCACCCCCTCCCCAAAGGCATTTTCAGGCTGGGGTGCGATAGGGCGGAGACGTTCTGAGAAATACCCAGAGGCTGCAATGGGGACATGCAATGGGGCTGCAGTGGGGGTACAATGGGGTGCAGTGGGGGTGCAGTGGGGATGCAATGGGGGTCCAATGGGGTGCAATGGGGGGGCAGTGGGGGAGCGGT